CTTTCCCTTTTCGCTACTTAAAAATTTTCCCAAATCCCACCACACGTTGACTTTTCAACCCTCTAGTCCGTAGGTCCCTTTTTCCTACGGGATTCTGATTTTTTCTTCATCCCCAATCTGCCTTTTAAAGGGGAAATTTTCCCGCGGGCCTAAGGGGTAATCGGGGTGAGTTCAGATGTTGCTTTCCGGGTTTTTCCCCCTGTTGGTGTTTTGTTTACAAGAAACCAAAATTACACTCGGGTTTTAAAACCTATCTCGGGCTAAAATTTATTGTATTCTTGGACCCTTTCCAGATGGGCCCTTTTTAATAAAAGGGCCCCTTTCTTCTACGCAATGTTATTCCGTACTGTAAACTATTTGTCCATACCTCGCTGCTTTCACGGCAGCCCGTATCCATTAAAATTAAGTGGTTTTCAATATGTTCTTTAATCTTCCCTTCCCCGGGAGCATTTTTTTCCCCAGACTTTGCCCTTTTTGTTTCATCCTTACCACCACCACTTCGGGTTACTTGGTGTTTTTTAATTTCCCCACCTTTTCCCCTCTGGGGGGGGTCTCATTGTGCTCACGGGGGCATTCAGTTGGGGGCTTTTTTTTGCCTCTCACCCCCCATTTTTTAAAAATACGGGTTTAACCCCCAAAAATTTTGATCCTCTTTCTCATATCTCTTTTTGATCGATCTACAGTCTGCTCTTCCCCCACTGCACTAGACTTCACCTGGTTTTTCTACCAGACTTTACATGACAGCAAATCTTTTTCCCAAAATAAATTCTTATTCTCCTTCTATTCACCACCTTCCGTAGCCCTCGGGGGCCCCAATTTTGTTTGGGGGCCAAATTGGGATCTTTTTCACACCTCACGCTTTTAGTGGGGGTTCCTTCTTAATCCCCCAATTGATGAGCCCCTTACAATTTTTCCCTCAAACCATCAGTTTTTCCGAGTTTTCTCATTCTATCCCCCAAAACCTCAGGAAGGCTTTCCCTAAGAAGTGCGTCCCTTTGGTTTGGTCTCTGTTTGGTGCTCTTTTGCATTTTACGTTTAAAAAACGTGCTGCTTTGGGGAAAGGGAAACCGGGTTTACAATAAAAACGCTGGGGAGACTTTTTGGTTTTTAAAGGGGGCCAAAAGGTGCGATCGCTCGCCGTGTCATCCGTGGGGGCTTAAAAGCACTTGTTGGCGAGGGCTATGTTTCCCCCATCACCTCTGCTTCTTCTAGGGGGTGCCCCGTCTTAAAAAAAGTGAAAGGAAAATTTAGTGGTAAAATTTTTCCCGCCCGGTCCTTTTTTCTAAAGGGGCATGGTGTTGATATTGCAAAAACCCCCTCGACGTTGCCCTTGAAAAAAGGCACACATTTTGGTTTCCCTTTTCCCGAGGGTCCTCTATGCCCCCCGTTTCTTTTTCCCCAAAAATCTGCCAGAGAGTTAGTACCTTGGAAATTTTTTCTCTCGGGAAGAACAGTTTAATGTGCCTTTTTTTCACTTCAAGAACTTGGGGGGCAACGCTCTCAGCTTGCCGAAACATCGGGCCCCGCTGGGGGGCCCGATGCATTTATATTCGTAGTTACAACATTTACTTTGGTCAGCCCTTGTAGTCCTCTTACACCTCTTCAATCTTATTTGGGCACAAAAGGGTTCTTCCCAGCTTTTGGAAATTTGCCTTTTTTCTCCCTTTCCCCAAAAACCCGGGGACTTCAGGAATGAGCCTCCCCCTATGCCCCAAACGCTCTTACAAGTGCAAATTTGCAAAGTGATGGAACGCCTCGTAAATCGACGTTTTTTTGTGGGATTTAGAGCTCCAAAAAGTCCCCTCCCCTAGTCAATATGGTTTCGTAAGGGGGTTTCATAGACCCCCTTTCTACGCTTGGATAGTATGTTGTTAAAAGCCCTTTTCGGGAATAATCACCAAATTAATTTCCTTTTTTTTGACCTTTTGGGAAAGGGTTTTGACACAAAATTGGGGGGTATTTTATTTTTGGGCCCCGGGCCCCTTCCTTAGGCCTCCCAGGGGAAACTACCATCCTTCCTTTTGAAATTTTTAACTGACAGACATTTCCCCTGGGGCGAGTCAAAAATGTTTTTTCCCCGGACTTCGTCCAAGCTGAAGGTGCCCTCAGGGATGTGTTCTAAACCCCAAAAAATTTTTCTCCTTGCTATAAATGATTTTTGGGCCCAGTTTTCCACCAATTTTTTGGTCATCACTTTTGGTTTATGACTTTTGCTATTGCTTGTGCAGGGCTGATGTCACCTTATTGCCCGTTTCTCTCCAGCTGCGGTCGACCGTGTTTCCCCTTGGGCCACCACCATGGGTTTAAATTTTCAAGTACCAAAAACCCCCCAAATTACTTTCACTAGACGCTCTGTTTTTCTCCGATCTTTCCCTTTTTATCTCTATGGCTCCCGTTTTCCCCGAACGTGATACAGTCAGGTTTCTTAAAGGGCCTTTTCTTTGACCCTTTGGTTAACCTGGAAACCTCACCTTTTCCCCTCTGAAAGGGAAATTGTCACGCCGGCCTTTTAAAACCTTCTTTAAAACCCCTTGGGTCATCTTTCCTGGGGGGTTTATGTCGAAAAACCGCTTCGGGCCCACATTCAAACCCCCGTTTTTTTCGAAAAATGATTTGGTGCCCCGATTTTTTTCCGCGGCCTCTCCTGCTACCTCTCTAGCCTTTAAATTATCCCTCACACAAAGGCTTTCGTTTGTGCCCTTTGGGGTTTTCGTTTCCCCCGTTGATAGCCTCTTTACAAGGGGAAACAAATTTTTCCATCCTTGGGCTGAATTTGCCGGTTTATGCCCATTTTCCTTCGTTACTATGTACGTCTCACGATCTACACAATCCTTAAATTTTTTGAAGGGGCACCGATATTGTAGACATTTTTATTCGTTCGGGCCCCCCCTGTTTTTCTCCGTCCCCTTTTTTCTTTTTTGCCTTACTTTCCCCTTGTCTTCCCCTTTGTTAACCCCTTTATATGTTATGTAGCATCTCACTTTTCCCTACCCCCCGGGAAGTTCCAGCCCGTTCGGGTCTGTTTTTTTCTCACTCCCTTGCCGAAGCTCAACTTTCCCCGGTGGCTTCCCCCTCTTTTTTCTTGATAAATTCCCCTCTCTTTTTCATTGCCACCGCTGGTACAAATGGCTCTAAAATCTTAGGGCCCGGGGCGGTTTTGCAGAGTGTTTCCGGGGCAGGTCGTCGAGGGCCCTTTACAAACTTAGCTAGCATTTTTACTGTGAACTGTATGCCATTCTTGCAGCACTTTTCGTATCGATCTATGCCCGTGTCATCATTTGTAGTAAATTCAGACTCCCTTAGTGCTCTACGGCTATACGAAAATTTGTTTCATCTATCCCCTAGTTCCGTACCAAATTTGGTACGCCGGGTTTTCTCTTTCCAAAAATAAAAAATTGTTTTTTTTTTGGGGCCCCTGGTCATGTCGACGTACAGGCAATGACGGCAGGGGACACGGTGCGCGGTCAGGGAGTATATGCCTACCAATTTTTCCCATCGAGGTGTTCCATTTTGGACTATTTTGCTGAATAGCTACCCCCTTCGCACCCGTTGGCCAAAAACGTTGGTCAACTCTGCTCGGTAAAAAAACTTCATTCCCATTTAAAAAAACCCAAACATGGTTAAATGGCCCTCTTTTGTATCGTTTCCCAGGTTGGGAGACCCCCTCTCTCCCCCCTTCGCATTGGCCCCCATCGTTTTACCCCCCCCCCCCCCCCCTGGGGTTTTTTAAGGGTTTTTTCCTTCTGTGGCAGTTCAATTTCCCGTAACGATTTGCCCCTTCCCGTTAGGGCTGCCTCCTATCAACGAGCACGCAGAATTTTCCTCCCAAAGTTTTCTTCTTTTTCCTACTCTCTCTTTACCTTCCTTTTTGTGATGGACCCCCCTTTTAAACCTGGGCTCTCTCATTGGGCTTTTGACAACGATGATTTACTCCACAAAATCTGATGGGTACTTTTCGGGACTTTTCCCCCAGCCCCTTTTTGGTTTTTTGCTTTGCTGCCCTTTACCCTTTCACCATCCACTGCCCCGTTTTATCCCTTAAAACCCGTTCTCATCCTTTTTCCCTTTTTCCAAACCCGAATTTCCCTCGCTTCCCCTTTCCCGCCCCGCAGGTGTATAGGTTCCTTTTGGGTTAGCGCTTCTTTTTGATTATAATAATAATAATTTTAAACAGATATTACTTTTTTTAACCCCCACTGGTGTCCCCCCCCAAGGCAGGGTGACCCAATTTTTTTTTTCAAATTTTGGTGTTACCAGGAAATGAGCCCAAATTTAAAAATTTTAGGTTTTCCTTTGACTGGGAAAAATCCCAACCCCCTTTAAATGCAGGCACTAACCTTCCCCCCTCCAGCTAAGTATGGCTAACTGGTTTCCCCAGAATCCCTCATGAAAGTTACTTTGGGGGTTTAAAGAGGTGGTTTGGACACTTTAAAAGGGGGAAAAGGGAAAATTTGATGACTAAGAGGGGTATAAGTCTGGGGTGGAGGGGGAAGGAAGGGTATGGGTAATCTCAGGAAAAAATTTGGAGGGAGGGAGGTTTAAAAAGGGGTTTTTTTTTTTCTAGGGGGGGTTTGGGTGTCCAAACAAATACAGATTTGTGAGAGGGGCAAGTGGCTTTTTGATTTGAAAATGCTTTTTGGGAAAGAGAGTAGGGTAAAAATTTTTTGAATGGTTTTAGGGGAAAAAAGGTTTTGGTGGATTTTTAAATCCTGAGTTGTGAAGTTTCAGCGTTACACTCTGGGAAAGGGGGGGGCTGAAAAAATTGCAGTTTCCCAAAAGGGGCCCTCTGTACTGTGATGGAAGAATTTCTTCTCGGGAAAACCCAAAGATTGAAACATGATATTAAAGTGTTTCTTTTTTTTTGGGGGTAACTCTTCTTTGCTGGGGTATGATGGGGTTAAAAAAAAAAAAAAAAAAAAAAAAAAAAACTTTTGTGTTGAACACTTTGAATATAACAACAACTTTTAAGTGTATATTTAAATTACATTGTAATATTTCAGGAAGATGATTCACTTTCTATGCTGGAGGAGATTATTATGAAGATCAGACAGTTTTGTTGGAACATCTTTATCTTCTGTGCAGTGTGCTATATTGGCACATCTCTATACTAATCACTGTATGCCCCTCATTACCCTCTCGTCTCTGTTCTAAACTGTGCAGCTAACTGCACTGTTTTGTGTCCATTGTGTTGGCACCTGCATTGTGGACATTACAATTTGCTACACTGGGCCGTGCAACTTGAATGCAGAATTGTTGAAAATTATTTTATGGTGTATTGAACTACACCTGCCTATACAAATTCAGTCTCCTGAGGCAAAAAATCCTACATTTATTTATATATACATTGACTTAAATGCAAATGACAACAATCACTAAAAATCACTAATGAATAATAGCAATGTTCACTATGCATATATATACCAGAATGGAGAATATAAATCAAATGCTGGTTAAATTTAGAGGCCCAGATAAGAATATTATTGCTTCCTCGAATATTCTTGTTCTATTGTGAAACAGGCTTTACATAAGTGACTTGCATCACAGACCTATAGAATTATGTATGGTACAGTATTGTATATAGCAAAGATTGAGTGGCCAGTGAAAAAACATAAAATGGAATTGAAATTCATTTGTGAGCAGAGGGATGATTTCCTTGCACTACATCTGCTATTCCTAGAGCAGGTGTAGAGCATTAAGCCAGTCAGACTGTAGCTCATAAGAATCATGAGAATGAGCACCACCAGAAATACAGCTTGAGCACTTAAGTTCCCTGTGGGCCCAGTAATATTGCAGAAGTGCCACATTGTATCACCTTGTACACAGATCCAGGGACACTACCCATATTATTTTGGAGATGAATATCCAGCAAAAGAATTTCCTTCATATTAACTTGAGTTTTAAAGTGTTGTATGGTTTTACTGAGAAGTGCTACTTATTTTGCCTACTTTATTAGCATACAAAAGTTTTAACATCTTATCAAACTTTACTGAACCAGAGCAGATAAAGGTCAAACAAAATAAAGAAACCCAACCCCTCATCTCGCCAAGATAAAACTGTATGACCCCCTTTTGGGGTTTTGGCTTAGTTATGATTTAATAATTAAAAAAAGAAAT